ATTATTATTATTATTATTATTATTATTATTACTATTGCTATTATTGTTCTTGTTTTTATCGCCATGAGCATCAATAAAATCAATGCGATCATTTTATGTGTGATAATTAAGGCGATCAGTCGGAGCATATAAATTTCACTGGTTATCAAGTATCGAATCAATGTGCAGCAATGGTCGAAGCGGACATTCTTTGCCCTACGTCACATCCCGAATTAGCATACCTTCGTCAGAAACCGCTGAGTGCAACTCACTACATCACCGACGTTCATTTTATGGTAGTTATTGAGCATTTCTATTATTCTTTACTACAATCTGTTATCACTTATATATTATTATAAATTTTGTTGTCATATGATAATTCATTTGATCGTAAGAACTCTTTCTCAAGTGCTTTGTATCGAATCTTCAAACGTTTATTTCTTGAATCGAAATTGACGAGACTTGAGACCTTCTTTCCTCATAGTCGCGATGAGTCGTACTTCTCAGGATATATAAGTTTCTACTCAAAACGTTTGTTTCGGTGGGCAGACGCCTAATCATAGATTAGAAATACTGTGGATATCAATGAATTTTATTTCATACTGAACAAAGTAATAGTTCCGGTTCATACTTTTATTCAAGTTTTGGAAAAACGTTCGATTTTACGTGACGGATTGAACAGACAAACTGAAATTTAGTTGTGTAGTCGAATGCTTATTTGAGAAAATTGCAGGAAAAGAATGAATATGGTGTTGAAACAATGAAAGACGGGCGTCCAATGCCAGTGGAATATCTGCTGGTGGACGTTCCAGCGGGTATGCCCAAAGAACCGCATGCAACATTCCATATCGTCAGCGAACGAGGACATCCGTTCCCAAACGAAAACCGTGACATTATTGGCGAGCTTCAGGTCACATCTGTTAAATTTCGTGGGTTTTTTGAGCGAATCGAGTGATTTAGACACAGTGTAAAGTTTTCGACGAACCTTTGCGAAATTGTTTCATGAGTTTCGAAGAAGTTGGTGACATTCATGGCAGATTATTACGAATGAAATTTCGACCGGAATAGAAGTGAAACATCNGATTACCTGATTGCATGGAATGAGTTTCATCTGGCTTAATTTTCCCCTCACGATTACATTATAGGACACCAATTCGATCGGATTGTATATATCGCAGTTTTCAAAAAATCAGTTCCTGGAGTTGGCCACCAATTTTCATTTCCTTCTGTTCTTATTCACGAATAATATCGTCAAATTTACAAAGGTTTGTTGATTAATTCTTCCGATTAATGATCTGTTTTTGAGAATTCAATGCACATACTCAAAAGCAATAAATGTTTCGATTCAAATAACTGAAGAAACATTTGCTTTCGGTCGTAAATCACATCAGAAAGCAGAGCTTTGAACATGGCTCTTACAGTTTTCGATTCGAATCTTGTTTTCGGTTATGCTTCTTGGTTGGTGCTGAATATTCTGTCTATCAGTAATTATTATCATTTGGATTTTTGAGAATCTGAA